CGACATTCAATACATGTCTTTATTTCTTTAGAACTTTTTTTATTTGCACTTTTGAAAGCTTCATTGGGCTTATTGAGGTAACAACGATTACATTCTTTCATTTTTTTTCGAATTTGGTATTAAAAGTAACATCAAGTAAAAAAGTAAATATTATATTTAATATACATACGTATTTACGTACGTACGTACGTATATACATACATACGTTAGTTATTAACAGCTAAATTAGAGTTTCTGCTTCTCCAAACAATCATATCACGTGATCTGAAAAAAATTTGGGTGGTGAATTTACCCCGGTACACTTAGACGAACTCATGCTCTCTATGTGATACAAGAGTAGAGCGGGCGCCACCGGAGCCCCTATTAAATAACATCAGTAAATTTTAATATTTTCCCAGTAATAATAATAAATATCTTGTTACTTATTAAATAAATAAAATAAATTTAAGATATACTAAAAAACTATTGAATTAAAAATAAATGAATGGAAATACAGTATTAGAATTATTGTGATTTCTACCATGAGTTACAGCAAAAAATTCTGTTATAAAAACTCGCTATTTTGGTGACTACAGTACTGGTTAAAGTTGTTGTAAGTTGCGGTGGAGTTGTCTTGTGGTCGAGCTGGCTTGCATTATAATCCTCCCAATTTCTATCGCGAGTTACTGTAAACATTTTGTTGTTACTATTCTGGTCATTAGTGTTCCGCAAAAAAGAACCGGCTGGAACGGCATTTTTAGTGGGCATAAAAGTAATGTTTCACAAAAGGTACTCGAACTAAAAATCATATTTATAATAGTGTGGGGAAATCTACACTAGAAACATGGTTCATTTTGTATTTTACATATTCATGTCGCCACTAGCAAGTCTTCAAAGTTCTTCAAAGTTACCGGTTCCGGTTCGGTTCTGGAACCGAATCTGGTGATTTTGAAGGCTTGTTACTGATAGCAGGCACGTGAAAGATACAAAGCGAAGCCTGTTTATAGTGTGGGGGTTTTCGCACTATTATAAATACCATTTTTAGTTTAGATACTTTTTATGGAACACTACTTTTATGCTCACTAAAAATGCCGGTTCCAACCAGTTCTTTTTTGCGGAACATTACTGGTAATGATGAAAGGGAGAGTTGCTTGTATCAGAATTATCGTCATGAATTACTATAAAAAATACTGTTACGAACTTTTCAACATAATACACAGTTAAAGTTTAAGTTGCATTGAAATTATTGTGATTTATTACTATCATAAATCGCTGTAAAAAAATTTTCATTCAAAACTTTGCTCGCTATTCTAATAATCACAATATGTGGTTGAATTAGTTTGCGTTCGTGAGTTACTGTAAAAAATTCTGTAGCGACTCACTAACGCATGTTATTAACGTTATCCATTTTGATTATTAATTCACGGATCGATTACTGAATTATGACGCTCCTGTACAACATTAATTATGCAAACGCTGATGAATCCAAAATTACGATGTTATTCGAATACAAATAGTGGATTGCATGTACTTGAAATTTGGTACTGCATGATGATTAAGTTTTCCTGCTACGTAACATATACGATTATCCATTTTTATTTTAATTATATTTCTTTACCAGGAAAATGGTGAATAATCAACTTAATCATTCATAAATCCAGTAATAAGGCTCATTAAATAATTGGCCCGTTATTTTATTTTATTTTTTCTTCATTTTTATTTTATTTTTATTTATTTATTTTTTATTTATTTATTTTTTTTTTAGGATATTACAGTAAAGTGTAATAAGTCTAGATCTATTTATGTATGTACTATTTTTATATGTGAACGTCGCCAATAATTGAAGCAAATTGAAGAAACAAAAGTTTATGTATGCAACGTCAGTCTACACAGCCAAATAAATCATGAAAAACCGAATATCGAGTCAAGGTTTTTATAATAATTCGGAATAATTTTACGTAAGCACCTATAAATATTTAGTTATTGTTCCAGATAAGTTCGTGACTCAAAGCCACAGCGTAGAATTTTTGACGTTGTTTATTTAATTAGTTAAAATAAGATGTAATATATCAAAATAAAACTTCTGGCGCCTAGATCGCGAACATTTTTCATGTATGTGGTACATATGTACGATTAAATAGCGAAATTAGTTTTTTGGGATAAGATTTGCAATCTAGATTTATTAGGTTTATTACGTAAGCACGCTACGATGCGTATCGAACGATCTAGGCAAAGTTACCAAAATTAGCTTAATAACAAAAAGAAAAAATAGTAAACATGACCGAGAATATGACATGTTTTACGCGATGAAAAATATATATAAATACTGAATTCTAACATCTGGCAGAAATTAATGATTCCTCAAAAAAAAAAAAAAAAAAAAAAAAAAAGGTAGTACGATGAATTTATAAAATAAAAATATGCTAGAGAATTCTTTGCTTATTTTTCTTCTCAGAAATACTTTTTTTTTATATTAATACCAGCAATACTTTTTTCTCTATTAATGCTAGGAAATATATTAATAGTCAGAAAATAACTTATTATAATTAATTACACTTCCAATATAATGATCTTTAGTGAAATGAGGTATCTTTGGAGAAAAAAACGACCAAAGAGTGACTTCTTTAAATGCACACTCTGAACACACTATCCCTCTAAATATACACTCAAAATTCTTCCCAAATATATTCCAGACCCCATAACGCACTCCTTCTTATTGTTCTTAAAATATACGTTGTTAAAACTGTGTTCATATGGTGAAATACATTTAGAGAAGCACTCTATACTATGGATGACGCATAGAAATAATATATTTTTTATTGTTATAGAAAATAATATTCATGTTGATATAATTATATAAAGTAACAGAGGTAATTAAATGAACTCGCTTATATAAGAGTGAAGTTTACCACACACACGAAACTAATTAATATTTTTTTTAAACTCTAAGGAGGAATGAAAGAAATGTCTAATTTATTGTAGTACACTATTAATTATTTTAATAAAGATAATTATTGTTCTGTTGATTTTTATAATATATTAAAATCTTCAATTAATAATAATTGTTAATAATTGCATGTTTTGGGTAAGTTGAATAGTTCTCAAAATAATTATTCTTAGATTTCACGTGAGCTAACAATGTGTAAAAATTTATTAGCAAACGGAATTTTAATTTTGACATTTAATATTCAAGTATAAACAGGTATGCTTGTTTTGGATAATATTATCAAATTAACATTTACTAACATGCTACTCTTTAAAGTAACCAGAAACTTAAACACCTGTTCGTGGGATAAATCAGAAATTGTGGCGATTATGTGGTATAGTTATTATTCCTATACCTTAGCCTAATAATAAGATGATCTTTAATACATAAACGTTCTTATTTAGACATGATATACGGGTGGGGTAACTCGGAAAATTTCGGATATTATTTATAGAATTTCAGAATTCTGTTAGTAGCACCATATCCAAAAAAAGGATTGAAGAGCACTGTGATTTTAAAGAGTGTATTGAATTTATTACTACAAAGTAACGTACATACATACGTTCGTACGAACGTACGTGCGTTCGTATGTTGTAATATATAATTAGAAAAATGTCATCAAATTAATGCAGAAATGAATTTTCAATGATTTTACGTTATCATTCTTCGTTTGAATCCTTTACAAGTCAACAATTCGTTACATCCGACATTTGTTAAAGTCAGCAATTTACATGCTTAAAATTTTTATTACTAACGCTATACTGGATTAGAACAAAGTTTTAGTTTTTTTGATTTCGTGCTTTGATAATCTTATAAAAGCAATAAACAAACTGACATAAGCAAAAGCCAACAAACAAAGAAGTGCTTTTTTGACAAAACACAAAATTACGTTATGCTGACATAAGGAATATCTTTCCTAATTTGTATTGCCGACGTTTCTCTTAGAATTAAACTTGTGAATGAAATTTATTGGTAGTTTTGGTAGGTTTGGTAGTTTTGATAGTTGACATTTCTGATGTGGCTAAAGTGGCTTGGTTTTTTTATACAAATGAATGTTATTGTAGATAATTGTAGATAATGATAAGATACTGTATAACGTAAACCTCGCTATCGTCATAATGATAGTCAAATCTTTGAATATTTATCAATAAAGAATTAAAAGTATAACGCGAAACATTTATTATACTGTATTCACAAATGCGTGCTGGCATAAACTGTAATTAGCGCATATAAAACAAATACCTTGTTTTACGCAATCTTGTCAATTACTGCATAAATAAAATGTTAAGTTATAACAAATTACCATAATTTGTGACATTATGAAAATTGTCCACAACAATCGTAAAGTCTAAAAGAATAGATAGTCACATCTACTTATGGCATTGCATATAAATTCCTGTCCTTTTCTCCACTAATTTTTTTTTTTTTTTTTTTTGAAGTCCAGCAATATTTATGTCAACTATTATTAGTCGCGTTGCAAATTATTAAATTATTTGTTGCTTCCTTCGTTCCTTTAATATTTTTGTCATCGTTTCAACCAATAAATAATGTTTATATCAATAAAACAAAGGCGTATTGATGAGGCTTGCATTCCGTGTCGCATACTGAAAAAAAAATGTAATGGACAAAAGCCTTGTGAAAGGTGTAAGAGGAGAAAAAAAATTGCCTCGTGCAGCTATAAGTCTGAATTTGCTAAATGTGAAACTCCTGAAATAAATTTTCAACCATACCGAATAACTAAGACAAAAGAGGGTAATATGACTTAAAAATCAGGTATACTTTATGTTGTATTTTACATACTTTACGCTAAAATACCGATTTTTTTCAGTTTCGCTCGATGGTAAGAAATTTATTTTTTTCAATATAATTTTAAAATTTGATAGTATTGTTCAAACTCCTATTACTTTTGCCTCCCTGAAACATTCCTTTATTAAATACAGACAAGGACTCTCCTAGAGTTATCTTGCCCTACTATAATCAACCATTACATGATTCCAATAAACCATTGCAAGGCTCTTCTATAGCTGACTTGCCCAACTGCAATAAACCAATTTCAAACATAAATTGTCACGTAAATGTTTCTCAAGGTAAAGAAATTAGTTAATGTAAACTAGTTCTTGTATTAATCAGAATAAAAACTTTATGATCCTCATTAATTATTATTTTTAATATAAAATTCAGTTCAAGTACCCAACGTGAACGATCATTTATTTACAGCATCTGAGCCCCAATTACCTTTGACTGCTTCTTATAATGTTAATACACCTTGTTACAATAAAGAATGGTCATTGTCATTAAATATAAATTCATTACAAGGTTAATAATAAAGTGCAAACTCACGTTTATATATTTATATTTTTTTAATCTATTTTTTATTATGATATTTAGGCCCAGCATTAAACAGGTATTAGTATGATCAAGACTATCTGACTATGATATTTAGTCTCAATTACAAAACTTCCTGCTACTATTTCATCTAATATACACAACAAATCCTATCTCAATAGAGAATTACAATTGTTATCAAATCAAAACTGTCATTTAAATTCATCAAAAGGTAAAGACAAAAACTATAATTTTTTTTTTTTATATTTATAAAATTTAATTATAATAATTATGTTTTTTTTTCAAAGCATCAAGCATTTATCAACGCCATCATGACTACCAAAATGTAGATAATCATTTAAACTCATCTAAAGGTAAAAATTTTTTATTACAATAAAATGAATATCTAACAATATTTTTAATTTTTCAATATTTCTATATTTCAGACTGTTTCTGCCAATTATCCAACCCGCTTATCGAAATTGATATGTACGCTGAATCACCTCTAGATATGGGTCAAGTGAACACGTGTTTTGACACCAGTTATCAACCTCCACTTCCTTCGATTTTTGGAACTTAAATTAATACATTAACCACTAATTAATTCCCATTATTATATATGTAAAGCAAAAAAATAGATGTATGCAACTTCAATTATTCATTCATCAAAGCTCGCGATTTAGAAATAATATATCACCTATCAATTCTTATTATTGTATATGGAAAGTCAAAATTTGAAGTATGGAACTAAAACAAAAAATCTACTTAATAAATAAATGTTAAACAGCCGTTTTTCTGTTCAATTGTCCGTTAAAAATCGTGATTTAGAAAAAAAAAATCAGTGAATTAATTTGAGTATAGTTACCAATAAATTTATTGGCATCATGTCAACGTGCGTATTAATTTAGCCAACAACGAAATTCTTAAAACATTCAAATTACTATAATGTAAATATAATCAATTTTATAACGCATAACGATTGGTTTTGTTAAAAGAATTGAAATTTTTTTTTAGGATGCAATATATTTATAAAGCTTACTTTAGATTAGTCAGTCAATTTTTGTCACGTAAAAAATTATCGACACAGCATGCCAGAATTAAGGTTATGATTAGTATTGGTGTGGCAAAATTAGACCACGAGTCTCTATATGTTAAGAAGTTTATGGAACAGTACACATGTAAATGATTGCTATTACGTAATTATTTAGTGTCGCAAACTATTCGTAAAAACTGCCCGTGCGTGAACCTCTGCGAAATGCTGGAAGCGCAGTCACGAGAATGCTGCACAAAAACAGTGCTATTATCGTAACATTCAGGTGAAACAAAAACACTTGGTACCCAACAAAATTGGTCCTCAACTGTGAATGGCTGAGGGTAACCGAAAAAAATTTAACCGCAGCCGTCCATTAATCAATAACTCCTTTGGAAAATAAATATAATCATATAAAGGCTTTTTTTTTATAAGCGTTACTATTTTGGGAATCAAAAATTAACTTCTGGTCAAAATTACATAATGCATGCCGATCTATGACATTTATAGTGCGACGAGCTAGTCCAATCGGGGGATCGGCGATAGTAAAGAGCGCTTTGGCATAAAACGCATGTAATGTTACAGTATACATAGTTTTCTCAACAAAAATGTATTTTCACAGCATTCTGACTAATGCTTTTGTATTTAAAATGCTAATTCATTATTCGCCATTCGAAACTTCTAAATTTCTTGAAACCTTATCATCTTTCTAAAATATTTATCTTAATACTTCAATCGCTACATCAAGATCACAGAATACTATTACGCAAGATAAAACCTGTCCTAAAATCAGTAAAACCTGAAATATGAAACACTAATAGTATTGTTTTTATTTATTAAACTGTAATATTTATTCAATTCATTAAAATGTTAAATTCGGTTGAGTATAATTTTTCAGATCTGCATTCATAGACAGGCATTCATCTGATTGGCTGATATAAATAAATTGCTTGAGTTACTTATTTATGCACTTTCAATGTTTCAAGAATTGTAACGTTTCACTAACAATAACCATGAAAGAGCCATTACTAGTTTAAACGAACGTTATGATTCTCTGAAAAAATCTCGGATCTTCTTCCCGAATATTTTGTTAAAAAAGTACTAGCTGGTACGTACTGATTATGGAACCGCCTTACTCCACTGGCAGCTCATTTAATCGACTCACGCCAAGTGACAATTTACCAAAAATATTGTATACGTATACCTGCAACCAAACAAATGCTAACGTTAACCCTAATACACGTGATGTCAGTGAAGGGATTTTTTCCGAATTTGGCCTAAATTATGTTTGAAAAAAGTATTTTTAGTAGTAGCATTTTTTATATGAAATAACTATAATGTGTGACGTATTATGGTGAATAAATTTTGGTAATAATGTTGACAACCATGAAAATTAATTTGGCTGACATGCGGCATAATAATTTTTTATTAATATGGTCAATTTAGGCTCACGTGTATGCAAGTTTATACGTTAAAATAATGATCGCAAAAAAGTAAATTAAAAAGGCAAACCTTATTTACGAGCTTTAATTTTAAAAGAACTTTACATATTATTGACATGTTACGTATTTTAATAATGCTATAATCAACTTAATACTTTCATTTTGCGTATTAATTTAATTTTACAAATTTAAATAACTAGATAATTAAGTATACGTAACACGGATTAAATAATAGATTGATGTATGGGGTGAAAGGGCCTATCTCATTTTGAGATAATTGAGTTTAATCATTTGTTTTGATTTTCGGACTGATCCGGGATTAATCAAATTTCACGATTTTAATTGGTTAAAGGTAACAGATGACTATCGGGTAATCTCGTGATGGGATTTGCCTTAGGAAGTCTCGTGTAATTTTTTATTATGCAAATCGACTTTCATTTATAATTGAAAAATATCAATCGTGTCAAAATTTACATGAATTTAATAAATACTCATTTTCCGAAAAAATGCAAAATGGTCCCTTTTAATACGGGACACCCCATATGCGTATGAACGGTATTGTACCATAAAATATGGGTTAAATGTAATAATGAACCACTAGCGAAAGTGGGACGGCTAAAAGTCAAATATAATTACATTTAAAATAAAGGGTAGAGTTTAGCTATTTTAATAAAAATTATTTATTCAAATATAGAGATTCTTTTTTTGGTCAATTATCACGGTTAATTAGCTAAGGCGATTGCCCAATATTAGATGCTTACACAGGTTGAATCAATGAATATCGGATACATACCGGGAGACAAATTTCCTGATATGTACCCGATAATCTGCCATAGATTCGCCAAATACCTGCTGTATATCAGCAGCATATTGAGAGATCGAAATCGGTAATAGCAGCACAATATTGGGATAGCCTGAAATCTTACTCCTAGGCCCAGAATGCTAAGAGTAAAATACCAAGATATCCCAATAATGTGCTGTTATCCGGCAAACTCATGATCATGAAAGTTTCTTTTTGTTATTTTTTCATGTGTTACTATATAATTATGTATTCAAATTAAAACTCGGCGATCGTCTCCCTACCAATCATGATTATAAATTGCCGAATAACACCACTATTACTATTGGGTAAATTGTCGAATACGGTAATTTGACAAATGATTAGCTACACGTGCCGATTTAAGGCACGTGCTCATTTGCCAAACTACCGTTATAATGTATACTTATTATTATGTTACAGATATCGATCTACCTCCAATATATTACTAATATTCTAAAATACTGTAGATTATCGGGTACATATCAGGAAATTTGTCTACCGGTTAAGCGCACAACAACGCCCAACATTACTATAATATACCTACTTTAAATTATCTAACGCTAACCCTAACTTTTTGACCAAATTTGTGCATCTTCCCAATGTCACTATAAAATTTTGAGCCATGTGTTTGAGTGCACCAATAAAATTTGAAAATCCTTTTAAGATTTTGAAAATTTTTGAACCTTCTTCTTAATACTACTTTATTAAATTTCAACAAATTTTTTTATTCTAATTATATTTATTGTATAACTAAAATAAAAAGATTTATTTAATGGTTATTAAGAAATTTTTAATTAAAGTATAAAAAAAAATTGAAATATATTTTGAAAAAAGCTAAATTAATAAATTTTTTTTAAACATTAATTCTATTTGTTTTGACTTTATACTGTACTAAATTTAGTATATATTAAAAATTATTTTAAGCATAATTATAATATATTTTATTTAAATTTTACCAAAATAAATTTTAATAATAGAAAGCTATTTGTGTAAAATTTGAAAACATTTATTAATAAAATTTTTATAAATTAGTTTTTTTTTTAAAAAAAATTTGACAGCCATGTCACATGCCTGCTTTATTGATGAGGTACTACATTTCCCGAAGGAATTGTCTGAATTACATTATGCCTTATGGCAAAAAATCTAGAATGTGGCTCACCTGGTTTCCAATTGGACCTATTTGCGACCTGCCAAAGATGAGTTCAATCTCCCTGGTTAGGTTCGCTTACTTCACTTCAACTGATCCATCCCCGGATCACTGACCTGGTTCACCAGCCCGTCATGACCGCCTTCTTTCTCAACCTTCTTCTCCTAGCCTCCTAGATAGAAGAACTACCAACAAAAAACAAAAGAAAAAAAACAAATATGAAATAAAAGGAAAACTAAAAAAGAGAAAAAGTCTAAACTAAATGAAACTAAAAAAAAACAAACAAAGTAAAAAGGAAACAAAAAGAAAAAGGCTGGAAAAAATAGCTATGACAACACTATTATTGCCTATGTTAGGCTATAAAAATTATATAATATTGCATAGAAAAAAAATCCAATCTAATACTATATGTATTAAAAAGAAGTAGAAAGAAAAAAAAACATCTAATGTTAAGAAATTTGTACACGTAATTTCTCCAATCCCCTATACTATAAACAGTATTGCTATTATTGTTTATTTGGCAAAGCAAAATTCAAATAAGCTCATAAAAAGTTTCATTTCAGTAGACGTGTTCTAATTTGGAAGGAGTAAACACTGCTGATTTTTTGAAGAGGATATGCCAATTTTTGGCTAAAATTTCTAAAAAATTCCAAAACTGCAAAAATATAATAAAAGAAATATATGATGTTTATCAGAAACAAGTACTCTAAATTTTCCAAAAAGTGTATTAAAGAAACTCATTTGTTGTTTCTCTTTTCTTTGTTTTCTTGGTTACTTCATTGATAAAAGACAGGCTCTTATTACCAAAATTTTATATACAAGGTCATCACCTTTTTGTCAGTTATTTTGTATTCCAACGCTTTTGACTTGCATGCTAAATATGCCAAAAGAGTCCCTCAAGACAAAGATTAACCTTTATAAGAACTGCCCGATAGTCGCATCAACTACTCCAACAAAATTTTTGTTTTTGTTTGGTAGAAAAATTTGGTACAAGTGATCATTAAGAAGAGTTCTGTAATAAATTTAAAAATTATTTAAATTTAATTATATAATTATAATAAAATATTACTAACTATAACTAGTGGTAACAGGATCCAAAGAATATATATAATGCTGAGATTTAAATTTGTATAAACTTATT